GTATAGATCTTGAGTATGTATGAAAGGAGTTTGATTGAGGGAGTTTGTTATGTTGAGTGGGATGTTGAGGAATTGGGAGTTTTATGGTGTTTTATATTTAAAATTTGTGATGTATTTTTATGTTGGGTTTGTTTTTGTGAGGGAGTGTTGGGGTTGGTTGTAAATACAATTGTTTTATTGTTGGTGTGTGAGGTTTTTTGGGGTGGATTTTTAGATATGGGAATTGTGTAGTTAGGGTGGTTTATTTTGTTTGGTGGGGGAATTGAGTATAGATATATGTGTTTTGTAGTTAGGGTTTTTTGTTTTTTGTTTTTTATTGTGATTATTTTATTTGTGGGGGTTTTGGTATTTGTAAGTAGGTTGTTTGCTTTAATTACCCAAATAAAGTATAGGGACATAATAGAGGATTGGTAATAAGGTAATAAGTATATATTTATTTACATGTCCACTTTTTCCAGCGGTTATTAAAAAACTTGTGATATCTCCACCGAATTTTGAATTTCAGGAAGAAATATTTGTAATATCCTTTTTTGAAAAGATATTAGATGCTTCCTTAATCCTAACGTGCTTCTGTTTTTTTATTCATTTCAACCTTTCTAGTAGGCACACTTTACACAAAGCAATTTGGGATGCATGAATTATTTCGAAAAACTCATCAAATTTGCTTTTAGGTTTTTTAGATCTACACCTTCAACTTCACTACTTCGACTAGAACTATTTGAATCTTTATTTATTATGTCAAATTGTAAACTTGTCACTGCGAGAAGAACAAGGATTAGATGGAAAACAATAATTAATTACATTACACTCAAAAGAAAAGCTCAATTGGGAATGAAGTTTAGTGATGTCGAAAAAGTAACTACTTCTAGTTACATTATGTTCGTTACTATCTCAGTGGCGCACCCAGGGTGTTTTAGAGGTTAAACCACCCTAGGGCACTATTCCGACACTGTTCCTCACAAATTTTAAGGACTCGAAATATAGGTAGCATAAAAAAAATTTTCTTCCTCGCAAGGAAAATTACTGCGTGCGCCACTGTACTATCTAATACCCTAAGTACCGAATTAACAAACCGAGAATTATAAGGATGGTATTCTGCAATAATAGTTTCAGCCACATATATATGGTTCAGAGTCAATGAGCATAATGTATCTACCTACCTATTTTAAAAATTGACTGATACAAAATAAGGCTTTATTTTCACATTTTTATATTTCAATAATTACAGGATTCCTTAAAAAACATACAAAAGCAAAATAAGTAAAAACAGTTTATTACAAAAATAACTTAAATCGGCTTAGACGGTTTTTGCAAAATTGTAAAAATATAAGTTGATCATGTTGGCAATAACCGTCTATCCCTCCGAAATGGTAAATACACAGAAACAAAACATTGTGATATTTTGCTTTAAAACAATGGGTGATATTTTGCT